TGATCTTAATTAGCAGAATGAATGTTGGGCAATTAATAGGGTTACAAGAAAAATAACCTCCTTGGATGTTATATTAAAGAGAACATGTAAAAGTCATAAGTATGCAATACAATATCCTTTCCAAAACAACTATAGTACCTGCAATATGGCTGTATCTAGACTTATAGGGGGCAGCCCTCACTAAAATTTTAAATTTTAAATACACAACTTTATTTATGTACATAATTAAACTATGTCAGAGCCTTACAGAAAAATCATAAGTTTAGGAAAGCATATGGGTGCAAGACAATTTTAGATAAAAATATAAAAGGTAATCAAAAGTATGACATTAATGGTGCTTAGATTTTTAGATCTGAGTTCCTGGTACACAAAATAATTCCATTACTTACTTAAAGGTTATTTGATTTTATCCAACATTTACACAATAGCCATTATTAATCAAATGCCACATCTTTCACAAACCATACAGCCAGTACTGTCAATTTTATGAGGACTTTAATAGATTACAGAATATGCTATAGCAATATATTATTAACTCACTAATTTTTTAAGGGGTAAATTACAGAATGCCAAAATACTATTTTTTAACAAGGGTATCACAGCCAGCTTCTCTTCAACAATTTTCAAATAATAGGCAAGAAGCCGTAAGTTCTATTCCTTAACTACACAGATGCAAAATGTGCATCAGTTGCTGAAATCAGTAAATATATATATATATATATATATATAAAAGCGTGACTAAACAAGGTAAAATGGTAAATACACACACACCCACAAATATGTAATTGCCCAGCTTTTTCCAATTCCTATTTCTGATTCTGTAGCTAAATGCAAAAAGGAAAATTTGGTCTTTTTTGCGTCCTTTTAAATTTGGTTCACTTTCCAATTATATCTGTTTTGAATGCAGAAAGATTCATATGGGCAATATGTATTACAGGCTCCAACCTGAAACTACCAGTAACTTCATAGGGTAGAAGTGAAATCATGACTCCCTCTTCAACTCCACATTTTTCAATATAACCACTAACATTCTGGGTGATCGTATAGAACTGCCCAGTCCTAAAATGCATTCTACATCATTAAGGGATGATTCAACTAGGTTCCATACAACTACACCATTGAGTTAATTTCACTATATCCTAACATTCTGAAAGTTGGTCATCTGATTATTTACCTGAGGTAAATTTAACAAATATTTAAAGAGCACTGACTAGGCTATACACTGAAAGACATAAAGTACAAATACGGCAAGTCAATCAACTTGAAAACTCAATTATTCAAGTCATCAGCGTAGAATTTAAGAATGACAAATATTAGGTTGGTTGGTTTATAATGTGCAATAAAATAAATGCTAAAATTTGAATGTACATTCCATGCATTCTAAGTGTTTTATTTTATTCTTTCATTTAATCCTCTACAGGCAAGAGGACAAGAACTCTATAGACAAACTGATATTAACCTTTTTTTGAAAAGACGAGAAACCTTAAGTTTACTGAGGTTAAATAACTTGCCAACAATTCACACAGCTAGTAAGTGGCAGTCATTTTTCAGAATAAAACTGTTTATTTAGCATCTAAATCATAAACTGCAGAGAGAGAGCAAACTTATTCCACCTACCACAATGTCTAATCTCAATAAGAAAATCTAACTCAACTGAATTTTTTTAAGCAATTTTTTTTCTCAGTTTACACTAACATCTCTACCTAATGGGTTAGGTATCCTTCTTCTGGGTAACCCACAGTACACCTCATGCAGATCTCTATCATAAATACTGAGCTGTCCTATCCATCTGTTTACGTTATGTCTATCATACTGCTGTAAGCTCCCTGAAGCCAGGACTCTGCCTCATTCATGTTTTGTCCTCAAGTTCCTATCAAGCGCCATGAACATAGGGAGTTCTGAAAGTGCTGTTCAATGTTCAATCATCATATTAGATCTTTTTTCCATCACCTTCTAAATATCCATTTAAGATATAGCCCTGTTGAAAATGGAAAAAGTTGGAACTTAGGTCAAATAGTCTACCTTCTCTTTCATCAATACCGTATCCTAATATTCTCTACTCCTCAAGAAAAAATGTTGGAAGGGAAAGTAAGATAAATCTGATCACCTATGAACTGATTATTGCCATTATAAAGAAATATGGACTTCCATAATTAAATAAATGAGGTTTATATCAAGTCAGATAGTGTTGAAAAATCTAGTTCTCTTGACCTTTACACCTAGGACTTTCTTAGGCTTTAAAAAAAAAAACACAAAAAAACCCCAAAAAACCAACCAACCCTGACAGTTGGTTAACCTGTAAAATTCTCATTTTAAAATTTCAGTTCTTCAAATAAGACAGATAATGTACACCCTCAAAACAGCAAATCTAATTAATTTTTTATAGCTTACAGAATATCATGTCTACCAGTTTGACTGCGAGGGTTTTTACAGCAGTAAAATTAACATGACATAAAAATTATCTTGTGCTAATAGATGGTATTGCAGAAGTGTAGCATAGTTAAGGCCATGCTAAATGTAAGCATAATATCAAAAATATCAGCAGCAAAAAAATAATAATAATGAATCTGTATGTGGTAAAAAAAAAAAAAGTAAAGCATTCTGATTAACAAATCATATAGTCATCTCTTTAAAGCCTAAAAATCTTCTCAACTCTAAGACTAACAACTCCCACAACATTGTAAATCAACTATACCTCAATAAAATTTTAATAAATAAATAAATAAACAACTCAAACATCAGTACGTGCCAAACCTTGTTAAGTAGTACTATGAATATCAGACCAACGAACAGGTTACAAGAAAATTCCGTTTCCATACTTACTAAGTATCCATAAATCAGGACAACTGTGCCATATTCAAAGACTGAATTCTAAAATACAGGTTGATATTAAAAACTTGTCATAAGGGTTCACAAATTAGGGTGTTATAACACTATAAGCCCAAAAAAAGGAAGCTCTTTAAATGAGCAGTGCACAGTGACACAAAACTAGTGTCTGTCTCTACAACTACAAGCTGAGTTGACTCTAAAAACTTTAATTTACACCTCTCTAAATCACAGTCCATTTGCCTATACTACTTGAATTTTTAGGACTCTAAAATATCAAATCCCTCCAACAGCATATTATTGAAGAGATTTTTTTTAAGTCTTTTCTTCTTCCATGTGAAAACCAATGTGTTCCTTCAAAAAGTAATCAACATTTCACTTGCACATTCACTATGAAATTATTACCCGGGTTCAATTTCCTTGTATTAACTGTACATATTACCTTGCTTCAGTCTTCTACGGGGCTTTGCCTAGCTAGATAAAACTTTACTGGAGATACAAATATTCTCTCAGTCCTTAACACAATCTAAGTCAGAACAGTAAACTGTTAACATCCACTCCCACCTTCCTCCCACCTAACTGTAATCCACAACCCTCCTGAATGGAAAAGAAGGTACACAAATTCAATCTAGAATCTCGCATCAATCTAAAGCGGTAACAGCATTAAGACTTATGTAGTGGAACCAAACATCTGGGGAGAGGGACTACAGAAACAATGTAGATTAGTTAACATGCCATCTATCATGCTATACTCTGTAAATCAGAACGTGTCATTACAGTGCTTGAAACGTGACGGTGATTTGGTAGTGGAAATTCTCAGCCTATAAGAGGCACTCAATCTTTTGAAAATTTTGCCTCCCTCATAACCAGCTAGCCTGACACACCTACACGGTACAGGGGTACAGGATTCTCTTTCTTCTAAATCACACCATCCAATAAATCCGCACACATCTCTCCTTGTAGTAAATACTGGTAAAACTCCTGGTTTCATTTAAGATTTCATTAAACACTGATATCCAACGCAGACTTAGGTACCAGTAAAAATGTCTCAGGTAAAACACGCTTTGAGCAAGCCTAAGTTTTCCTTCTGCACTTTCCTCACCAAGTAAGAGTCATCGAATGAATAACGTCCTGCAGTGTTCCGGTATTACCAAAAGACAGAGCCAGTCCCCAAAGACCGGTGGCCTTACTTTCCCACATCGCCGCCTTCCATTAAGGGTCACTTAAGTCCACCTCTCTTGCATGAAACGGAGATCTTTCTTTTTCTGTTTTTTAAAGCTATTCTTAACAAGTAGGCTTCTAGTCTCTGATACCTAGGAAGTGAACTTACAAAGAGACTACCTCCCAAATATGACAAAACTATAAGACAACGTGGGAAGAAAGGGAAGAGGCGTGGGGCTTGTTTTGATCGCAACAGCTGGGGCACGGTCAATGCAATCAGGTATTTTACACATACATCGAAGTCCTGAGGACAAATAGCGTTTGCTAAAATAAACACAGTGAGACAGACGTCCCACAAACTGGAAGGCAGCGACGGACTCAATGCAAAGCGATCCAGAGGCTGCCAGGGCAGAAAGTGGCCGGAGGACCGAAGAAAACTGTAGGGGATGCTGCAGGGTGGGCTAACATGGTGCTTCTCCAGGGTGGAAGGCGATGAGGTGTGGGAACCCGAAGGCTTCATTCCGTCGAGCTCTGGTCCCTAAAGGTATCCTGGCTCACAGCTCAAGTTTCACCCGGGAAAAAAAGAGGCGGCAAACGTGCATCTCGTCACCTTAGCCCCAGCACATTAAGTCCGCGCTCTCGGCTTCCTCCGCGAATAGGCGAGGAAGTAACGGTCCCCGGAGCAAACACGGAGGAGCCACGCGCACGAAGCACTCGGCGTCCGGGCGGAAAGCGCCGTCGCCGAACCCCAGCCCGCAGCGTGGGGAGCGGCGCGGCCGCGAGCGAGGAGAGCGGGCGGCCGGCGCCGCAGTCGCCGGCCCTGGCCCTTCCCCGGCCTCGCCCCAGGCGCGGCGAAAAGTTTCCAGCCAAAGTCCGCGGCACCCGCTCGCGCAGCCAACCGCCGAACACAACCGCTTCCCGCCCGGGAGAGCGGCCCACGCTGGCCCGGCCGCGGCCCCGGGACCCTCGGTCGCGCCTCCCTCAGCCCGCACCGGCCGCCGAGGTTCACCTACCACAGAGCCGGGAGAAGAGCAGCAGCGGGAAGAGCAGCAGCAGCAGCGGCGGTGGCGTCGGGGGCGGCAGCAGGAGCCCGGCCCCGGGGGGAGAAGCGGAGGAAAGTTGTGCTTTGCCGCCTCCGGGACACAGCGGAGCCGGCCCCAGGGTCCGCGCCATCCCCCACCCTCCCCCCGGCCAGCTCGCTCTCCGGCCCCCCGGCTCCCCGGGCCCCGGCGCCTCTGGCTGTGGGCGGCGGCGGCGGAAGGTCCGGTGCGCGCGTCCCTAACTCCCAGTTCTTGAGCCGTCACCGCCGGCTGACACTCTGCCGAGCACTCGCGGCTGCTTCAACTCCGCCGTCGCCGACGCCACTGCAGAGGCTGAGGCGGGAGCCGCCCGCCGCCGCCGCCGGCACCACCACCGCCACTCCCCTCCCCCCACCGGCACCCGCCCGCCTCGAACTCCTGGGAACTCGGAACGCACCACCCCGCCCGCACGGGAGGGGGAGAGGAAGCCGACCCTCAGAGCGCAGGGACTCGCCCGCGCAACTCGCGCTCACGTCTGATCCGGGAGTGAAAGCCCGACTCCTCCCACCCCGCCCTCCTACACACGCCCCTCCCCTTTCAAAAAAACCCAAAATCTCTTTTCTCCTCTTTGATAACGGGGTTTCTCCGAAAGCAGGGCTTTAAAGAGGACAGGAAAATCTGGAATAGGTTAGTAGGCCCCGCCCCTCGCGTTCCTGCTTCGTCCCCCTTCCCAGCGTTTCCAATGGTCTCGCCCACTCCGCCCCTTGCTGGTCCACCGCGGCCCCTGCTCAGACCGAGGCGGAGGGCAGTGGGACAGTCCAGCTCGCAGCTAGGCTCCCCCGAGCGGCGGTCTCCCTCTGGCGGGGACCGGACGAGAGGCGGGGGAGGGGAAGGCACGATGGGGCTGTCTTTCCGTTGCCCATGCGAAAGGTTCCTGTCTGGGAAGCTGGACATAGTGTGCCGGACTAGTCATCTCCCTCCTCGCCGAGGGCTGAGAGACTTTCTCCTCCTTCCTGCTTCCCGGGACAGCTGAGCTCTCCGAATCCCTCCTTTCTTCCCAGCCCCACTTCCCCCCCAGTCTGCCGAGGCACGTTTGCACAGCCGTTTTTCTTGCCCCTTTCTCTGGGTGGGCAGTTTGGTGAAAGGGTCAACGGAGCCGGGAAAGGAGAGGGGCCCCAGAAGGTTTGCTTTTCTCTCTCTCGCTTCTTTGACCGCCAGGCTGTCCGCTATCCTCCCCCGGCGACTGGCAACAGGAGGCCTGGATTTCCCCGGTCGGAGTGCCTGTAGTGCCGTAGTGTTTTCCTTTGGTTTTGTTTCATTTGCATGTTCGCACGTGTAATTTTATTTTCACTCCCTGTTTTCCTATGAACTGATCGCGGGAAAGCGACCTCGGGAAGTGCTAAACACGTGCCCGTGAGAGGAGCGTCCGTGAACCACCACGACCCTCCTTCACCCCGGCAGCTGCTCGCCTTGACCTCTTTATTTGCCCGCCACGCACAGCCCTGGTGGCTTAACCTTGGAGCCACAGCCATCGGCGGTTCTGCGGGGGTGGTGGACAGTTTCGACTGTCCTGAGGGGGGCTGGAGGCAGAGGACACAGGTTCTCAGTCCTGACACCATTAATTTTATGTTGGTCCTGCCGTCGCCTCCAGAGAGCCACAAATGTGCTCCAATAGGAAGAAAGTCAAACAAGGATTTAGCCGCCTGTCGCAGCTAAACTAATGCTTGTCTGCCGCCAAGATCACGCTGTCCTCCCCCTTCAGTCACTAGGGTCTCCCCGACCTCCATCCACTGACTTACAATGTTTTACTCATCTCCAAGGCTACACACAGTTCTACCCCCTGCCCGCCGCTCTTTTTTCTTTCTTAATTTCCGCCTCCCAACCTCTCTTCCAGCGCTGGGTTAAAATACCTCTTTTCCTCCACCCCTTTTTTTTCTCTCTCGCAGTCTATGCCTGTTGCCTCTGTCGTCCCCTGTAAGCCTGTCTCCTGCAACCACTCCTTTCCATCACCTAGTTTCAGGATGCACTTAAGAAGAAACCTTGTCCTGCGTTGCTCCTAGAGATGCCCTGATGACGATCATAATTGACGAAATGTAGCTATTGTGACATTCCTCAGCTGTGCTGACACCACCGTTTCCCTTGAGAAAATTTCTTTTCCTATTTTCGCATTCCCTAAGCCTAATTTCACAGTTAAATTTAGACAGAGCCCACTGCGCAGCGAGTAGCTAATTATCTGTTTAGATAGCACTTTAACACGTTGTTGATACTCAGTTAAATGTTAAACAACCAAAATTTTAATGTCCCTAGCAAATTTCATTACCGTAGCCTTTCCCTGATGGTTCTAGTCTCCAGGAAAAAAGTAATTTAGCCAACATTTGAAAAGGTGCCAAAGGCTTAATATGGGGGCCATAATGCAATTGCTACAGAGACCATGAGGGATTAGCAGGTTTAGTGCTTCTCAAAAGGATGATATGGAGCTTTAAAGAATATATTTCCTCCATATTTTGAGAATTGGATTAGTGGCATGCTATTCTCCTCTGACCTAAAGTGAAGAGTGCATGGAAGAGCAGTATTTATACATGTTATATGAGCATGAAAAGAACACCACGCTGGTGTTTTACATGCATGCATGCATTATGTTTTAATAATAGTAATTTGTGTTAATGTATCATCTTCAGCCAGAGAAGTCAAAGCAGGAAATTACTATTATCCCTACTTGACAGCCAGAGGAACCTAGGTACAGAAGTTAAGTGCAAACACTACAAGCCATGTGTGGTGGTCTCACCGCCAGAACCAAGTTCTTGCCTTCCAGTAGACACCACTGACCTCTCAAGATTCCTTTTAAAAAGTTAAAAACAAGTTGACTGAGTTAACTCAAACTTCTACTTTGGAAGTGTCCAGTCTCAAATTACATTCTCCTCAAATGAAGACATACCCACCTCAAGCTTTCCTGTAGGAAATTATTACTAGCTACAGAAAAAGATTTTATATTACGTGGTACAACTCACTTTCTTCAAGGGCCAGAATTATTGTTGTTTTTTTAAAAGGCTTTAACATGAGAGTATAACTGGGTTATACCATTTTCAGGCATCTGACTTACAGATAAGTTCACCTTTATTGTTTGAGTGACAAATTGGTTGAAGGAAACTTAATCATAGCTAACATTAATATTTCTGGCACCATTGAACCCAAAGTATGCACGTATTTTCCAAGAAAAAAAAATTATCTGAACAAAAAGCAACATAATCCTAATGCCAACAGTGATTTCATTGTTTTGGGTTAAAAGTACTGATGGTGTCCGTCCCACTTTATGCCTTAAAGACTGTTGGCCAATTATTGAGTTTCATTAGCTCAACTAAAAAATGAAGGTCGACATCTCAAAAAAGACATAATTATGTACAGTTTTGGGCATTTTACATTTACTCAAATAATCCAAATTAAAGGTTTGAGGCTACTAGAATTTCATAGCTGACTCTAAAAGAAGTATTTTTTAGTAGAGGTGGACTATTATGTATGTACTTCAGCTAGTCCTTTTACCATCAGCAATTTTTTTTATAACCTGCTACGTGAAGAAGTATAGCTTTTCCCTCAGTGGAAGAGATGAGCAATGCTTTGTGGAATGTTTGAATTGGCACTATATTTGACAGTAAGTTGATGTTACCCAGCTAGAATCACAGTCTTTTATAGCAGAACTATGCAAATAGTTAAAAACAAACTGTAAACCCACAAAAAAGTCCACCCACTTTAATCAAATACAGCTATTTCCTACTGAAAAGATCTTCCCCCATATATTCATACTGCTTTCTCCGTCTTATTTCCTTTGGGTCTTTGCTCAAATTGCATTCTATCATTGAGATCATCTATGACTACCCCATATGAAAGAGCTGTCCCCATCTCCAATCCCTATTTCCCACACACACAACTTGCTTTATTATCTCCATCGCACTCACCATGTGACACATTATATCTTTATATATTGTCTGTTTTCCCTTCACTAGAAGGACAGTTCCCCAAAGATGGGCAGGGACCTATTTACTTTTTCACTGTTGAAACCCAACCACCTAGAACCGTATCTGCCATATAGCTCCCAGATTGGATGATTAAATGATAACTGTAGTGACATAGCATACTCCAGTGCATATCTAATGGAAGACAGACTCAACAGAAGAATATTAATTTTTTAAGGTCTTGAGTATATGATCATGTTGAATTTTTCAAGCTGCGAGACGATTACTCTAACTGACCATGGCTTAACACTCTTGATTTAATTGCTCTTAGTGCTACTTATTAAGCTATCATCTCTCCACTCCATATTCACTCTTAATACTGGGGCTGGGGCTGTGCAAACATATGTCTTCTTTGCCAGTTATTGATAGGTTCGATCAACAGAAGTCATTAGAGGGAGGGTGGTAGGTAGGGGTTGGGGAGAAGACATTTGTTCCATCCTGTTTGCTTCCTGCTATCAGCATCACCTCAGTAGCAATAGCCCTTCTTCCTGTCATCAGCAGTTGGCTCCAGCCTCCCGCTTTTACATTGTAAGAACCAGACTCATCACAACACATCAGAGTCACCAGCACCAGCTAGGCTATGCCTACTTCTCAAAGACCCATGCCCTAGCCAGCGAGATCTGTCCTCTGAGTTTCTTAGTTCTAATAACCCAAAATTTTCCCTTTGTTTCCCTAGCCTTAAGGTGGTAACGGCTTCCTACGTTACATATCTCTGAATCACCTCAGTGTTCCCCTTTTTGGCATGGAGCCTCCCCTTCATGCCCTGTGTAACAATGCCCTATTATTAAGTTCCCTAGGTGACATAATATAGTTTCTGTTTTCCTGATTGAACTTTGATTGATGCTGTATTTTTCGGTGACTATTTCCCAAAACTTTCCCTTATAACAGTTATTTTTCTGTAAGTCAAACTGTTTAAAATCACAGAGCCCACATCAATCTGTCAATTAATAGAAATAAAAGCAATAAGGCAAATGAGCAAAATTTGTTCTATTTCACTGACAATAATCCAAGTTAAGCAGAGGCGGGTTTGAAAGAAGTAAATTTGGAGGTAATTAGGCTGGTGTGTTAGTCATATATGCGTATGATTTGGGTGTTTTTTGGTTGATGTTCCTGATCTAGATCATGGTAAAGACAAATAGAAATTTGAAATATTAGGTTGTTTAGATTTATTTTACAGACCTTGATTGCCCTTGAGAATCATTATGAAACTAAAAGATAAGAGGATTACTTGGGGACTTCCCTGGTGGCGCAGTGGTTGAGAGTCCGCCTGCCGATGCAGGAGACACGGGTTCGTGCCCTGGTCCGGGAAGATCCCACGTGCCGCAGAGCGGCTGGGCCCGTGAACCATGGCTGCTGAGCCTGCCCGTCCGGAGCCTGTGCTCCGCAATAGGAGAGG